GGGGCTTGTACAACTCTTATCACAATCCACACATACATCAATTGTGTCAAGCACTTTTATAAATTTGTTTCCCTCATCATTCTCAAGACATTTGCTTTCTACTTGAGGCCTTGGTATCAGCTCTTCATTTTTTCCCTCCCTCACCCCTCCCCCCTCACCATGAACCCTTGATAATTTATAAATTATTATTTTGTCACATCTTACACCGTCCAACGTCTCCCTTCACCCACTTCTCTGCTGTCTGTCCCCCGGGGAGGAGGTTATATGTAGATCCTTGTAATCTGTTCCCCCTTTCTCCCTCACCTTCCCTCTATACTCCCGTATTGTCACTCTTACTGTTAGATCTCTCTGGAACTAGATATACCTCGGTCCTTGGCTCCGCATGAAAAAGAATTCATGCCGAAGCCTGGTTCATGTTCCAAGTGAGTTTTATGAAAGTTCGAAGACGTTTCAGGTTTACACGGCACCCGAGAGACTCCTCCCGGACATGCAGCTTGTCTGGAAACTGCCCAGCATCACGCAAAAGTCCCTAAGTTCTCCTGGCTCCTGCCTTTTCAAGGATTCCACGGGGAGGTGTGGTGGAAGACCCCTGATCAACCCCATTGGCTGAATTGAATTCACCTGGCCTAGGTGGGCCAATTCAGGTTCACGCCCACCCCTGCCTACCTGCGGGAACCTGATCCTCTGGGCATGTGCAGTGCGCCACTCCTTTGTTCCCCTAGCTTGGCCCTCTGGGCACACGTTAATGGACCTACCTAACATTAGCATTGGTCCTGAGGGATTCATCTGTCCTGGATTCCCTGTGTTTCCAGTTCCTCTCTGTACCAGTGTACATCCTCCGGTCCAGCCAGATTTGTAAGGTAGAATTGGGATCATGATAGTGGGGGATAGGAAGCCTTCAAGAACTAGAGGAAAGTTGTGTGTTTCATCAGTGTTACACTGAACCCTGACTGGCTCGTCACCTCCCCGTGACCCTTCTCAAGGGGATGTCCAATTGCCCACAGATGGGCCCGGAGTCCCCACTCCGCACTCCCCTTCATTCACAATGATATGATTTTTTTGGTCTTTGATGCCTCATACCTGATCCCTTTTCGACACCTCGCAATCTCACAGACTGGTGTGCTTCTTCCATGTGGGCTTTGTTGTTTCTTAGTTAGATGACCGCTTGTTTATCTTCAAGCCATTAAGACCCTACACTCTATATCTTTTTTTTTTTTTTTCTTTTTTAACATTTTATTAGGGGCTCATACAACTGTTATCCCAATCCATACACACATCAATTGTGTAAAGCGCATTTGTACATCGTTTCTCAAAACATTTTCTCTCCATTTAAACCCCCGACATTAGGTCCTCATTTTTCCCCTCCCTCCCCGCTCCCCCCTCCCGCATGAGCCCTTGATAGTTTATAAATGGGTATTTTGTCATATCTTGCCCTGTCCGACGTCTCACTCTATATCTTTTGATAGCCAGGCACCATCAGCTTTCTTCACCACATGTGCTTGTGCACCCTTTGTCTTCAGCGATTGTGCCAGGAAGGTGAGCATCTCAGACTGCCGAATTGTTAGAACAAAGTAGAACTTTTTTTTTTAGTACTGTTCTATATTATTGAATCTAAGACACAAAGTTTCCCTGACCTCAAAATGGTATAGACAGAGCAATATTGTATCTTAGCAACTCAGAAAGAGGGCCACGAGATTGTTAATGGTTATTATTATAACAGCTTATAAAAGGAGGATGAAGAAAGTACGGTAATCAATGTCACTGGATTGTACATGTAGTAATCGATTAATTACTGCATGTATATATTTCCAACATTCAAAACAAGTCATACATGTTATTTAGAAAAGGAGAATCGAGTGAGGGAAATCAAAAGAGTGGGGATAGGAAGGCTGTAATTTTAAAGCAGGTGTTAGGGTAAACCTCATTGAGAAGCAGATGGCTGAGTGCTTGTAAATTCTAAGGGACTAAAGTAACAAATATGGTGAGTTAACTGAGAATTTCCTGAGCTGAATGAATTAGAATAACCTGTATGAGCCCTGGTGGTGAAGTGGGTTACTTTGGGCTGTTAACCAATCACAAGGCTAGCAGTTGGCACCGACCAGCTGTTCTGTGGGAGAAAGATGAGCTCCCATAGATTTACAACCTCAGAAATCCACAGGGGCAGCTCTACCCTGTCCAAAGGGTCACTATGAGTCAGAATTGACAATATGAGTCTTGTTTTTTAGCAAAAAACCTTCAAAGGGATAGGTGGCAGAGGTCAGATAGAGAGAATATCGAGAAAACAGTTGGGCACGATTTTTTAAAATCATTTTACTGGAGGCTTGTACAACTCTTATCACAATCCATCCATCCATCCATTGTGTCAAGCACAGTTGTACATTTGTTGCTATCATCATTCTCAAAACATCTCCTTTCTACTTGAGCCCTGGGCTGTCCCCAAGCTTTGTGTCCACCAAAGATATGCCAAACATTAGAGACTATTTGCCAGCACATGGTGGGAGGTCAAATGCATTCAGCCTTCAGACTACCTTCTGGTCTCACCGCAGGTGGAGCCCACTCCCTGCTGTTAAGGACAATGGATTACTTCTCCCTGAAGGCTCTCAGCCAACAGTCTGGTTCACTGTAGGTGGGGTTCCCACCCTACTGATAATTGTTTCCATGGAGAGCCAGAGAACAGGTCAAACCTGCTCAGTGACATCCAAAGTTAGGCTGCCATCCTGAATCTAGGATCCACCCATCTGGTCACATGTGTGTCCCCAATCTCTTCCCTTCCTATTGTGTGTATACCCCTAGATCATTCCCCTCTCATTACTGTATTACCTATAGTACAAACCCTTCCTGTGACGTATGTCTTTACCTATAATTAGGGGCTTGCACACCCCCCAAAGATATATAAGCCTTGGTTAGTAATAAAGAGCTCTCTCTCCCTCTGGCTTTCTCCCCCATCCTCACTCCCGTCCCTCTCCCCTTGCCCTCCTTTCCCTCCCCCTCTCTTCTGCCCACTGACCCTCTCTCTTGCTCCTGCAATTCCCACCTTCCACATCCTCGTGGACCACTGAACGGGGCTGAGGTGAGCATGCTACCATGAAATGTGTCTGACTCCATTATTTCAATCTCTCTTGTATCTCTCTTATTCTCTATGCTTTTACTATAATCTTTACTTATTCTCCCTGTACAATTGTGCCTACTAGACCTGTGATGACTTGTTAGGGGCTGGCTACCCTGACACTAGGCAGGATTTTATAGGATGGGATAAAGTGAAATCACATTGTTGCCCAGTGGAGTTGATTTCTACCCATGACAACCCCTACCTACTACATAACGTTTTCAAGGCTGTGACCTTTCAAAAGTTAATCACCAGCCGTTTTTTTTTTTTTTGGCTATGCCTCAGGCTGGGTTCTATTTGAGCACTTAACTATTTAATAACATTAGTAGATGAAATTCTTAATTCCAGAAATGAAGGATTGGAAGTAACTACAAGGAAAGCTGTTTATTGTGGGAGAAGGCGGATTGCAGTCAGAAGCCCTGGTGATGGAGTATGTTAGTTGGCTGCTAACAGCAAGGTTAGCAACTCAAACTCATTTAGCTCTCTCTGCTCTTTGAGACAAAGAGGAGGCTTTCGACTCCTGGAGAGATTATAGCTCGAGAAACCCAGGGGAACAGTTCTACCCAATTCTGAAGTGTCACTATGACTCGGAACCAATTCAATGGCAGAGTTGGGTGGATTCCCTCTGATAATACAGAATTGGTGATGACTGAGAAGAATGTTTTATCCAATCCACCCAGAAACCACATCGAGTTGGTTCCACCTCATAGCTATCTTAGAGTTTCAGAGGCTGTAAATCTTTATGGAATCTAGCCTCAACCAGATTCAGATAATGCCTTAGGAACTAGTGGGAGATCTACTAGGAATCACTTCAACATAGGAATGGAGGGCACCGCACCCCACCCAACCCATCTCATCCCTGGGAAGTCAGTACTCGGGATTTTTTTTCCTTAATAAAGAGAGATTATTTTGAGTACAGTACAACATCTATAACTTTTTGTTCCAGACGCCATGTCTCTTTCTGGTGCGAGGTAAGAGTTATCAAGTTAAATGGGAGACGTTTGTCAAAAATTCTGTCACATCCAGAACTTAAGCTAGGTCTGATTTGAAAGTCATGAAACAAAGTCCCCCAAAGTTAAGGAAGGAGCTTTGTCCACCTTAGGGGAGAACACAGCAGGGTTGGGCCACATCACAGCAGGGTTCTAAGTCCTAAGGCTTTGTCAGTGTGGCAGCTTTGGCTGGGCTCAGGGGCGGAGGTAGCCGCGGGCTTGGAGGACGACACTTTGAGCGAGTCCCTTGTGGCATCTTGTCAAAGAATTCTGTGGCATTGCACTCTGGTCCAATCCAACACTACGTGGCATTCAGATGAACTGCACAAGATACCAGACGATGGCCATCTGAGCAAACCCCACAACGGCCTCGAAGGAAGTAAGGGAACTTGGTAACCATTGCCGCAGGCTTCCTACAAGCCAAGCGCTCTTTTAGGCTTTGCAACGTCTAGACCCAGTACTCAAAATAGCACAAACAAATTAAAACGGATTACTTTGAAGGAGGGTGTGGACAGAGAAGGGGCAAAGATCTTTGCACTGTATCTGTTTTTATGCTTTCTGCATTAGTTTGAATTAAAAAACAAAACAGAAACAAATTCGGTTCTAAATGCCTCCTGCAAGCAATTTGTAGGGCAGAGCTGCGTCATTCAAATACGGTCTCCAACGAAGACGCCCACCAGGGGACGGCCAGGCAGGGCAGAGCAAGCCTCCGGAGAATGGCGGGACTCAAACGGGAGCTCGGCTCTCGCGGGAATCCCCGGCCGCCAGTCACGTGACTCCCGCACCTCCCAGTTCCCGCCTCCCGGAGCCCAGGAGCCACGTCTGCGGAGTTGCTGGGTCAGGGGCGGGGCACGCACCACGCTCGGGTCCTCCCTGCGGCCCCGCCCCTCCCGTCCAGGGCCCGGATGAAGAGTAACGCCATTATCGCTGGAGCCCGCGAGCACTCACGCACGGCGACCGGACACTGGCCGGCCGCAATATGAGACTCCTCCCCCGCCTGCTCCTGCTGCTCCTGCTCACGTTCCCTGCCACCCTTCTCTTCAGAGGCGGCTCTGGAGGTATGGCGGGGGCAATGGGCGGTGGGGTTTGGCGGGGAAGGAGACCTCAGCGACGGCAACTTTGAAGTTGGAGGCGGCCACGACTGCCGGCCTGTAATCCACTTTCCCGCTCGCTGCCTGGCTTTCCCATCACCCTGACCCACAGGAGCGCCCAGCCTGCTGGATGAGGCCCGGCAGGTGCCTCCGTCCGCCGCCACGCGGAACGCGGTGGGCTGCGCCCCGCGACCTTGTCCCCGCGGCCCGGGTCTCTCTCCTGAGCTTGCGGCGGGGCGCGGGGTGCAGAGAGGGCCGGGCTGGGTGGGCTCGCGCCGAGTTGGCAGCGGGGGATTGACTTCTGCAGCCTCTCACCCCGCCCCCTCGGCCTTGGGCTGACGTGTCGCTAGTGACCGCGCCAACCGCTCATTCATTCATTCATTCATTCATTCTCGAAGCTCTGCTTCTTTGCTCCCTTCAACTCTTAGAAGCGAGGCTTCTATTCCGGCACCCAGTCTCCCTGTGTGCCTTCTCTGCGGTCCTGAGTCCGGAAAAAGCCCCCATCCTCAGCCCTGTTCCAATTCCTACTCCCTCCGCTGTAGGGTGTCTCGATTACTTTTGCCCCCCATTTCTCCAACCTCATTTTGTGCTGAAAAAGTAGGCTTCGCAGTTGATGGTTCCTTTTTAAACAGGTTTATTCACGTAGGCTTGCTCATCCCAACTGTTAACGTGGTGTAAAAGTAACTCGAGGATAGCAAAACCTGCAGCCTTGACTTCTTTTCCCTCTAATACATACAGACGCCCGGGTACGTTATGTGTCTAAAAATGAAAGGCTGTCTGACTACACCATCTCCGGAATTCATTCCCATTCTATAAGTAAAGCAGTTGTTTGGAAAAGGTTAATCATGGTGACATGGACCCACCAGTTATGTTGCCACGAAAAGTGAAATTACTAACGTCTATGGGAGAGAAGCCAAAACTGCTAACGCGTTCGTTTTCAGGTTGAAAGAGAAATTCTTTTCCTCTAAGATCTGCTTGCTGGTTGGTTCTCCTGTACTAGTCTATAAAGAAAACTTGTTTTAGAATCCAGACTGTGTAGTTTCAGGTTTTCAAAACTTTACAGAAACATCAGTTCTGTCTCTAAACTAATATTTTGTAAACCTTTTTGTTAAGGAATCATCTTCAGAAGATGTTTTCTCTTTATTTTCCGAATTGAAAATTGTTAGCTTTTTTAGACACAAAGTCATGTTGGTTAGTAGTAAAGTGTTTAATATCCAATGAAATGTAGTGTGCAGAGCGTGTGTGTGTGTGTGTGTGTGTGTGTGTGTGTGTGT